TAATTCGTGTAACAGAAAAGAGCCGACATGGTTACGTGATTCTGAGATAAGATCAGAGATCGATTAATCACATGACCCGGAAAATCTCACCTACATCCTGGATCTGTCGTTACTATACATAAGGTCAAGAACAAGCTTGAGATAAATTGTGCAAACATAACTCCGAATTGTGACGATTTCTCGACTCTGGATAACATATCACAGGACTCACAGGAGTTAAATAGGTATGATGATATATTAAAAAAAAACGCATGAGCTATGAGGAGCTTGAAAAAATATTATATGATACTCTCATTTCCAAAGCTAAATTAATTGAGATTAATAAAAACCTCTGATCTCTTTTTCCTTGTTAACTAGATATTCTAGCTAGCGAAGTGAGTTAAGAGCAAAGAGCTTTTCTGATTCACACATGGACTCCTCTGATTCTATACGATCTTTTTTAATCAAAGTAATTAGTTCATATGAGACATCTAGTAAGGAGTTTTGGCAAGAACCCCAGCCGAAATTTTAGGTAAGTTAGAATTTCGAATGGATCCAAACTTTAACAGTTTCTTTTTCTTTTTTTGCTTTTCTTGTATATTCATATTAGCAGGTGATGATCCCAGAGGGTCCTCCACAACCTCAGATGATTCTTTTGGAGTTGACTCATCAGATGCTTTGCAAGGTTGTTTAGCATAAACTTCTGAACCATTCTCCGAAGAGATAGATTGTGCTTTCCTAAGCTCCTCAAAAAAGTGGTTTCCATTTTGCTGTGAACACTTAGAATCATTTCATATATCATAAATATGATCTTTATTAATATAGTACTCATTTACTATCATGTATACTGGGACCTTATTTTTGAGATGTCTAATTTCTTCAATCTGTCCAGGTGTTAAAATGGTGGCACCCCACCGATAATGGGTTTTTAAAATCGAGATAGACATAATCTTCCGATATTTTTAGACAATGTATTTAGATGCATAAAAAATATTAGGCATTAATATTTATCGTTTTAGATGGATAAAAAAAATTAGAATTCAATATTTATTATTTTAGAATGAGAGGAGACATTAGAAAGCATAATTTATTGTTTTAGGTGGGTAGAATACATTCTAATACGCTATCTAAAATAATAATAAAACGATTGATAACCTTCGTATTCATTTTTTATTTATTGTGATTATTCTCTAACATAAAATTTGAAAGTTTTTTTTTACATGTTTATGGCTAATGTAAATAAATGGGAACATATGATCTTGAGAAAGAGATATGTCGCATCTTACAAGACTCATCCAAGATACAAGATTATAATGCTAAGTTGCGAAACGAATACATGAAGATCAATGATGAGACCAGACGGTTGAAGGTTGAAAATTCTAAACTTTTTTCCCAATATGCTTGCGCGGAGACTTCTCTCGCCAAATATAAAGCCGAATGTCATGCAAAATCAGAGGAAGTGAAATCGCTTCAATCTGTGATTAATTCATTACCCCCGGGATACTTTGATAAGAATAATCAGCCAGATGGTCCCGAGAGAACCGATTCATATATAAAAAGTGGTGGCGAAAAAAATAATGAGCCAGAGAGCTCTAGCGCTTCTTCAGAACAAATCATACCCGCTACTATTTCTAAAGAAAAGATTTCATTAGGTAGTGCGGGAACTCTATCGATATAGACAAATTACTATCATCGGTGCTCACCTGCTCGATATTGCTTTTTCTATTAATTGTAATTATATAGTTAGTCATTGTGAAAAAGCTACGGAATTTGGAGAGCATCATGCCAAAAGAAAAAGTCAGATATCCCGCCCACAAAAAATATATAAATAGAGAAGAGGTACCAGATAGGCCGGGGATAACACCTAATTATCTACAGCTGTGTGATCGGAGGACTAGGCCGGAAGAGGCCACCCCGTGTCCAGATCGAATATAGGAATTGAAGTTAGCCAGTATTATAAGTTTTCTAGCAGGGGTATGGTAATTTCAGCTAAGAGTACTTATCTATATAATTCAATAATTTCGTCTATATCCGCTTCGGACGAATCATCCTTTTTGTCATTCTGTAACTTAGATAATGTTCGATAGCGTGTGATTTCTAGACCAACCACTTTGTACTATGTGTTTCGGAAATTTGCTAGTAGCTTACACTCATTTCTAGATCATATGATAATATATATTTTTCTAAGGTCATAGCTTTCGATTTACGCTTACTGGACTTAGTAACTAATTTATATATTTCTTCTTTGTAACGTTCATTGATTTTAGAAATTTCTTTGAGCAATAACAAAACCTTTAAGCGGGCAGATTCTTCTAGTTTATCTAGTGCATTAAGAAAGGAAGTGTAATAACCAACATTACCCGAGCATTTTACTACTTTACTAGCATAATTGGTAACAAATAAATTTTTTGCGTAAGTACGAGCTTCTTTCCATAAATAGGATATGATGGCTTCATCTTTTTTCGGTCCATCACGTAGGTCTTTGATATATCCCTTAATCCACTTTTTAGCTGATTTCTGCACTAAGGCATCTTTCATATTTGATACATTATCTTCATTCAAATTTTTGCCATTCTTCAATTTTTCTATGGATTCAGATGATGGCTGGAATCTATTATCGTAATTTATAAAACGTGCATAGAGACCGGCAACACTTTTCAGATAATAGTTAATATCGATCTTTTTACCTAATTGCCTTACTACCTCAAGATACTCTATTTTATCTCCTACCTTCTGTGATAAATTATTTTCAACTACAATATATTCAAAGCGCTCACCTGGTTCTGAAATTTGGTAAAGATAAGGTTCTGGCGTTAAGCTCTTTTTTATAAGTCGTTGGGCTTCAGCTTTTTTACAAATATGCCTATCTTGCATTTGTGAAATAAAGCATTGAACAGATTTGTTATCTTTATCGAGCTTCTATGCACTAGTTTGAATCATTTCATTAAGGTCTATCTGAGAAATATTGTTTATAGTTTTCTTGAGTACTTCCTCTACGATCTGTTGCAAGGTACGTG